TGTGTGTGTTGTGTGTGTGTTGTGTGTGTTGTGTGTGTTGTGTGTGTGTGTGCCATGCGTTTATGTTGTGCGTGTTGTGTGTGTGTTGGTTGTGTGTTGTGTGTGTGTGTGTGCGTGTTGTGTGTGTTGTGTGTGTGTTGTGTGTTCTGCGTGTTTGTTGTGTGTTCTGTGTGTGTTCTGTGTGTGTTGTCTGTGTTGTGTGTTTCGTGCGTGGTGTGTGTGTGTGTGTTTGTGTGTGGTGTGTGTTGTGTGTGTGGAGTGTGCGTGGTGCGCGCAGGGCGCTGTGTGGTGTGTGGTGTGTGGTGTGGGTTGTGTCTGTGTGTCTGTGTCCCCTTGTGTCCGCGTGTCCGTGTGTCCATGTGTCTGTGTGTGTATGTGTGTGTATGCGTGCGCGTCTGCGCGTGCGTGTGCGCTCGTGCTGGTGCATGTTTGTGCGTGCTTGCGCGCGTTTGCGTGTTTGTGTGTGTGTGTGTGTGTTTGTGCGCGTTTGCGCCTGTTTGCAGGTGTGCGCACGTGTGCGCGTCTGCAAGTGTGGGTGCAAGTGTGGGTGTGTGTGTGACTGTGTGTGTGTGTGCGCTCATGTGGACGTGTGTGTGCGTCCGCGAGTGTGCGCGCGCGTGCGCGTGTGCGCGCGCGTGTGCGCGTGTGCACGCGCAGGTGCAAATGTGCTGCGTGTGCGCAAGTGCCGCATGTGCGAGTGGACCGCGAGTGCGCGCATGTGTGTGTGTGTGCGCACGTTTGTGCACGCGTGTGCACCTGTGTGGTGTCTGGGTGTCTGTGTGTGTGTGTGTTTGTCCGTGTGCTTGTGTGCGTGTGTACCTGTGTGCATGTGTGCATGCGTGCATGTGTGTCAATGTGTATGTGTGTGAGCGCGTCGTGTTGGCGTGTGCGTGTGCCTGTGTGCTTGTGCGTGTGTGAGTGTGCGCGTGTGTGCACGTGTGTGTGGGTGTTTTTGTGTGTGTGTGTGCACGTGTCTGCGAGTCTGTGTGTCTGTGTTGGTGTCCGAGAGAAAGCCATGGGAAAGTCAAGGGCCGACAAGGTTGGCAGGCAGCGCCAAACCAGCCACAACGCTGTAAAGACTTCCAAGGCACCACAAGCAGCTACAGCATGGGAGAGAAGACAAAACCCAGCAGCGCCGGGCGCGCAGGAGGCCATAGTCACGCAGACAGAGCACAAGGACAGACTCGAGTGCAGGTGGAGCGCGCAGCGGCGCTTGCGCTGGTGCCGACGGCGGCCAACACGGAGGCAAAACGCAGAAGCACAGCCCGCACGCACAGACCCTGGCCAGCCAAAGCTCGGGCCCTTGCGCCCGTGGAGCAAGCACCAAAACTGCCCGAAAGCGAACAAAATTCCACGCCAGTCCACAAAGGGAAGGAGTTGGAAGTCCAGGGCGGGGCAACCGAAGCCAAACACAAGCAAAGAAGCGAAGGCGATGCCGCGCTGGACGCCAGCCCAGTCCGCGCCGCAGAACAGGCGTAAGTCCACAAAGCAAAGAGACGCCATGGCACGAGCGGGCGTGACACCGAGCCAGTCCGTGCCAGGGAAGGGCAAGTCCAGGGCGGAGGCAAACACAGGGGCAGAGGCCATGGCTGACGCGAGATTGAATCGACTCTGTGTGTGTCTGTGTGTCTTGTGTGTCTGTGTGTCTGTGTGTGTGTGTGTCTGTGTGTCTGTGCGTCTGTGCGTCTGTGTGCCTGTGTGTCTGTGTGTCTGTGCGTCTGTGCGTCTGTGCGTCTGTGTGCCTGTGTGTCTGTGTGTCTGTGAGTGTGTGTGTGTGTGCGTTTGTGTGTGTGTGAAAGGTAGTGTGTGTGTGAGTGAAAGTGTGTGAATGTGTGTAAATGTGTGTGTGAATGTGTGTGAATGTGTGTGTGAAAGTGTTGTGCATGTGCAGGTGTGTGTGTGTGGGTGGGTGGGTGGGTGGGTGGGTGCGTGCGTGCGTGCGTGCGTGCGTGCGTGGGTGCGTGGGTGCGTGGGTGCGTGGGTGCGTGGGTGCGTGGGTGCGTGGGTGCGTGGGTGCGTGGGTGGGCGGGTGGGTGGGTGGGTGGGTGGGTTCGTGGGTGCGTGGGTGCGGGGGT